AGTCGGCAAGAACAGAGAAAGACCCTTCATGAGATGGACTGACAAGTGGTTACAATAGAGGCCTCAAGCACAGGAATGATTATGAGGATGGCACAGGACGGGCAATGTTTACCTCTGCTGTACATAGGGTCTCTGTAAGTCAAAACCGACTAGAGAACACCCAACAACAACAATAACAACATACAGCTACAGTAATCAAACCAACCTGGTACTGGTATAACAACAGACTCATTTGTTGTTGCTAAATGCCACTGAGTTGGTTCCAATTCATAATGACCCTACACAAAACCAAGTGACACACGGCTAGGTCCGGAGCCATCCCCACAATCTTGTTGCTGCCACTGTGCCAATCCATCTCAGTAGGGGCCTTCCTCTTCTTTGCTGATCCTCCACTTTATCAAGCATGATGTCCTTTTCCAAGGACTGATCCCTTTTGATAATATGTTCAAAGTATGAGAGATGAAGTATCACTATCCTGCTTATAAGAAGCATTCTGACTATACTCCTTCCAGCTTAGATTTGTTTGTTCCTCTGGAAGTTCATGGGACTTTAAATATTCTTCTTCAACACCATAACTCAAATACATCAAGTCGTCTATGGTCTTTTTATTCATTGTCCAACTTTAACATGCATATGAGGCTATAGAAAGAGCCAAGGCACACCTTAGTCCTCAAATTAATATTATCTTTGCTTTTGAACACTTTAATGAGATCTCGTGGACCCTTCTTGTGCAGCACATTAGCCTAATGCAATATATCGTTTGATTTCTTGACTGCTGTTTCCATGAGTCTTGATAGCGGATTCCAGCAAAATGAAGTTTTTGACAATTTCAATCTTTTCTCCATTTGTCATGATGTTATTTATTGGCCCAGTTGTGAGGATTTTTGTTTTATTTACATTGAGGTGCAACCCAAGCTGAAGGCTGTGGTCTTTGCTCTTCATCAGTAAGTATTTTAAGTCCTGTTCATTTTCAGCAAGAAAGGTTGCATCATCTTCCTCCAGTTTTGAGTCTTCCTCCAATTATGATGCCATGCTTTTCTTCATATAATCCATCTTCTCAGATTATTTGCTCAGTGTATGGATTGAATAAGTGTGGTGAAAGAATGCAATTCTGGCATATGCCTTTCTGATTTTAAACCTTCAGTGTTTCCTTTGTTCTGATCAAACAGCTGTCTCTTGGTCTATGTACAGGTTCCTTGTTAGCACACTTGAGTGTTCCAGAATACTCATTCTCCACAATGTCCATAGCTTGCCATGATCCCCACAGTTGAAAGCCTTTGCATTGTCAGTAAAGCACATGTAATCATCATTCTGGTGTTCTCTGCTTTCAGCCAAGATTGAGCTGATGTCAGCAATGATATCCCTAATTCCACATCCTCGTCTGATCTGGCTTGAACCTCTGTTAATGTACTGATGCAGCTGTGTTGGCATTACCTTTAGCAAAAGTTTACTTCATGTGATGTTAATAATACTGTCTGATGATTTCCACATTCCATGGTGTAAGTTGTCTTTGGAGTGAACACAAATATGGATCTCTTCCAATTAATTGTCCAGATAGCTGTCTTCCAACTTTCTTGGCATAGATGAGTGAGTGCCTCCAGTGCTGCATCAGTTTGTTGAAAGATTTCCATTTTTATTCCATCAATTCCTGGTGCCTTGTTTGCTGCCAACGTTTTCTATGCACCGTGGACTTCTTCCTTCAGTATCATTGGCTCTTGATCATATGCTACCTTTTGAAACAGTTGAACATCAACCATTTCTGTTTTGTACAGTGAATCTGTACATCTTGTTTTATGCTTTCTGCATCATTCAATATTTGTCCATAGAATCTTTCAGCATTGCAAATTGAGGCTTGAATTTTTACTTCGGTTCTTTCAGCTTGAGAGGGTGAACATGTTCTTCCCTTTTGATTTTCTAACTTCAGGTCTTTGCACACTTCATTTTAATTTTTGACTTTGTCTTCTTAAACTATCCTTTGAAATTTTCTCTTCAGCTCTTCTACCTCCTCATTTCTTCCATTTGCTTTAGCATCTCTGTGGTGGAGAGCAAGTTTCAGAACCTATTGTGACATCCATTTTGATATTTTCCTTCTTTCCTGACTTAATGAACTTTTTCTTTCTTCCTATTCTGAGATGATCTCCAAATTCATGTGGAATATGTTCTAGGTCGTATTTTAGCTCTCATAGACTTGTTTTAATTTTCTTCAGCTTCAGCTTGAACTTGCCTATGAGCAATTGATGGTCTGCTCCACAGTCTGCCCCTGGCCTTATTTTGGCTGATGAGATGAAGTTTCTCCAGCATTTCTTCCCACAGATGTTGTCAATTTAACTAATGGAATAGAGAGACCAGAAGGAAACACACACACACACACACACACACACACACACACACATCACCAGCTGATTTTTTGAATAGGGGTGTTAAGTACATTTGATGGAGAAAGAAGAGTTTCTTCAATAAAAGGTGCTGGAAAAACTGGATTTCCACATGCAGAAAATTGAAACAGGATCCAAGTCTCACTGCATACACACATAAAAACAGATTTTAAATGGATTAGGGAACTAAATATGCAAATTAAACCATAAAATTCTTAGAAGAAAAATCAGGGGCCTAGTTTTTAACAATGGATTATCTACTTTAATAACAAAAGCAAAATACAAAACAAATAAATGGGACTTCATAAAAATTAAAAACTTTTGTTCATCAAAAGACTACCCAAAAAGTGAAAAGACAAATTACCAACTGGGAAAACATATTTAGAAACCAAATATCCAAGAAGCACCTGGTGGTGGTGGTGATTATGTGCCATGGAATCGGTTCCGAATCATAGCGGCCCTGTACAGGGTTTCCAAGGCTGTAAATCTTTATGGGAGCAGAAAGCCCCATGTTTCTCCTGCGGAACACCTGGTAGTTTCGAACTGCTGACCTTGCTGCGGTTCGCAGCCAGAATCAGAAACCTTACATAGGATTGCTATTGCTGTGAATCAGAACCGACTTAGTGACGCTTAGCAACTACTGCAGCAACAGTTATGTGCAAGTCCTAACCTCTGTACCTTTAAATAGAACCTAGTTTAGAATTGGGAGGCTTCTTTTGTTATGTTAATGCGGCAATTCCAGGAGTAAAGTGGAACCTAAACCTAGTCTTTTCTGTGAGTGCTCTTATAAAAAGAAGAGAGTAGATACAATAACACTTTATAGGGGGAAGAGACCATCTCAAGAACCATCTACATACCCAAGAATGCCTGGGGCTATGGATAATGAAGTACCCCTCCCTAGAGCAGATGCCCTGATTTGGGCTTCTAGTCTTCAAAACTGAGAGACAATCAATCCCTGTGTTAGGGTTATAGCAGCATTAAGTAAATATAATAGAAAGGTTGGAGGTTGGAATCCATCCAGAGGAGCCCTGGAAGAAAGACCTGGTGATCTCTATGAGAAACCAGCTATTGCAAACCCTACGGAGAATAGTTCTACTATGACCCACACGGGGTAGAGTTGACAGCAACTAGTTGGCTTTGACTCATGCTTTTATTTTTCATCCATCCGTTCCGTCTACCATCACACATCCATCTGCCTGTCCAATAAATATCTCATAAGTGTCTATTATGCCCAAGAACCTACAAGCCTTCTGTGGTTCCACAGAGTGGCATCTTTCTGGAGTCCTGTATTTGTACTGAAATCAAAGCTGCTCTCAGTGGTTTGAGCACAGGCCCCACTTGACCCTATGGTTTGGCAGAGCTGGTGTGGTAGTTTAGCTTGAACCCACAGCAGAGGGTCCAAAGGAAACTGGGTTGAGTTTCAAAGGAACCACTCTGGATGTGTGAGAATGCACAAACCCACCCAAGTTGTGGGCATCCTGAGTCCCATGTGACAGACTCTCGTAGACACTTGGCATTTGCGGTGTGGGTGCTGACGGGGACAGCTAGGTCATGGCCACACTGGGTAGGACTTTGTGATTCAGTACAAGAGCTATGTCCTCAGTCCAGCAGCCCCAGGGAAAGCCAGGCTTGGGGAACAGGCAGGCTTTTCTTCCCAGCTCCTCCTAAATCCCATGTCCAGACGTTTGCTTGGTGACACCATGGCAACGGTGATGCCACAATGGAACATTCTTCACAAGGTGGTAGAAGAAATCCCTGTGTTGAGCTCTGCTGTACAAGGCCAGAGTGAGTTCATTTCTCCTTTAGAAGCAGTTCACGGAAGAACTCAGAACCATCCTGACGAAAAGAAATATCTGGTGTCATGAGCAGAGCATGGTGATTTAGGGGTGCATCGGAGGGTTCCTTAAACTACTGTGAAACATTTGAGGCTAGGGCTTAGGTCTGGTGGTACAGCACCTGGATGCAGACAGACCTGAGATGGAATCCCACTAGCTGTGTGATCTTGGCGGCTGTTCAATGTCTGAGCGTCAGTTTCTAAATCTGTAAAATGGGGTAATGACAGTGTCTGCCTCTTGGGATTATTGTGTGGATTAACTGAGGTATTTAATCCACAGCCATGCTGGCTGTTACTAGTTAAAAGAAACCCCAGCATTATTGAAGACAGCAGAGTTTTAGAATGAGTGGTAAGCCCTGTACGGCCTTGTACTGAACTCCTGCCTTTTTCTCAGCAGTGTTTCATGGCTACAGAATTACGGTTGAATTCCACAAGTTAAAAAACAACCCTTTCCAGAAACCCAACTCTCTAGGAAGTCCAGAGGCTTGGACTGAATTGAGGAGAAAACAGTCCAGCGTGTGCTGCCTTCTCTCCTTGGGCCCATCCTCCAAATTGCTAACTGAATATTAGTGTTGGACAGCTGGTCCCTGCCCCTTTACTGCACGGAACTGCACAAGAGGGACGTGACAGGTCTGTTTCCCAAGTCCTGGAGTCTTGTCTGTGGGCAGGAAGGAGGCAGGACGGCTGACATTAGGGGAGGAGAGGGCAGACCCTGTCTGTGTCTGGGAAGCTGACAGAGCCATTTCTGTCTTCACAGCTGCCCATGGTGTCTGCTGCAGTTCTCTTTGGGGATGGCAGAGATGAGAAGGCTATTCTTACTGTTGCTCTACATTTCCCACTCTTCTGCCAGTGAGTGGGGCTTCTGGGAAGGCTGTGGTTTTACTTGGCTGAGGGGGAATCATCAGGAATATGAAATGGTCCTTAACACCCAGAGACGGACTCTGGGGAAGGTGACTCACAGTGTTGCTCTGTACCGCACACACTGGTGGCAGGAACCGGCACAGGTGTGGGGTGTGGATTTAAGAAACTGGGGCCTAAGCAGCCTGGTGTCAGGTATGCCCTCAGGGGAGTGCCGTTAGGGAAGTGCCCCTCACCCCCATCCCCACTGGGAGCAAGAGGCTTGCCTCTGGCTCACAGCCTCTGTCAGGTGGGGTGTCCTCCTCCCACCTGGGTGGGGAGTGGGGCATGGGATGAGAGCCAGTTCATCCTCCTGCCTGCACTTCAGGATTGGTGTGACAATGATGTCTTTATAATTAAATAAAAGAGTGGCTTTTTTTTTCCCAGCTGTAGGCCTGGTCTGGAACAGGGAGGGCAGAGGGCTTGGATTTCTACTGTTGTTCATACCGTAGAGACTGCTGAAAACTCAGAGACAGCAGGAGGGACAGGTTGTCCACACTAAGAATTCCAGCCTAGAAGGGGCAGGGATGAAGGGACAGCTGACTGAAGCAAGCTCTGTGCCCCCTCTGTCACCACAGCTGGGTCTGTCCCATTGTTCTGAGCTTAGATGGGAGATGCAAGAGAACCCGCCCCCCCCCGCCCCCGCCCATACAGACACACACACAAAGAGGGGGACCCTCCACCTCCCTCAGTCTTCAATTCCTTGCCCTCCTCGCAACCCTAAGGAGCCCAGAAGCTGCCCAGAAACATACAGGAAAGGGCTCAGGCCCTCTCTCTTCAAAAAAAGCCGTAGTCAAGAGACTTGGAACAAATGTTTTGTCTCTAGGTCAGGTTTCCTCACCACATCCTGGCTTTCAAAGGGTTTTGTGAGATCAAATGAATTAACTGACCAGAGCTTTGAAAAAGCAAAATCTTCACACCTGCATAAGTTCTTGGGCTCGGAATGCCTTGTTTGCCATTGATCACCATTGTCCTGAGAAAAAAATCTCTTCTTTGGTTAGTCCTGGTATGGTGCTGTAGGATAAGCACTGGGCTGCTAACCAGAAGGTTGGGGTCCAAACCCACCAGCTGCTCCTTGGAAACCCTAAGCAGGGTCACTATGAGTTGCAATTGATTCGACAGCACTTAACAACAGCAAAGGTCTTACAGGAATCATTTTGCCAAAACCCAGTTCTGTCATAGTTCCAGCAAAGTCTCCAAGTGACTAAAGATGTTTGGTCCTCTAATGATCATAAAGGACTTTCCATATTTACCATATTTGAAATTAAAACAGAAGATTTTAAAATATAATATCATATGAAGACATCAGTAACCTTTGGAAAATCCCACTATATTCTCATGAGAGAATGATAGTGGAAAATAGTATTATTTACTATTTTCTTAGTTTCCTGGTGTGGCACCATGGGACCAAGCACTGGACCGCAAGGTTGGTTTAAACCACAAGGTCGGTGGTTCAAATTCACCAGACACTCCTTAGAAACCCTATACAGGGTCGCTATGAGTCAGAATCGACTCGGCACTTAACAACAACAATATTCTTATAAAAGCATTTTTTTTAACTATGTGTATTCGTAGGCCCCTAAATGGGACCTAGGGACTCCGAGAGGTCTGAAGACTACACTTTGAGAATTGTTGTTGTTGCATGTTGTCAAGTCAGTTGTGACTCAGTGATGCTGTGTAGCATTCCTGAGGCTGTAAATTTGTACGGGAGCAGAAAGTCTCATCTTTCTTCTTCTGAGTGACTGGTGGCTTCGAACTGCTGACCTTGCAGCTAGCAGCCCACCATGTATCCCACTTTGCCATCTGGGCTCTGTTAAGAATTGCTCATACATTGGGAGGGACCAGCATGAGAAGGACATCATGCTTCATAAAGTGGAGGGTCGGTGAAAAAGAGGCAGACCTCCAAGGAGATGGACTGACACAGTGGCAGGAGCAATGGGCTCAAAGGTACCAACAATTGTGAGGATGGCACAGGAACTGCGCAGTGTTTCGTTCTGTTGTGCTTTGGGTCACTATGAGTCAGAACTGACGACACACCTAATAACAACAACTGTACACATAAGAGATTCTGCATCTACCTAGTACATAAATAAAGGAGCTCTGGTAGCATAGTGGTTACGAATTGGGCTGCGAACCTCAAGGTCGGCAGTTCAAAACTACCAGCTGTTCTGCGGAAGAAAGATGAGGCTTTCTGCTCCCGTAAAGATTTACAGCCTTGGAAACCCTGTACAGGGTCGCTATGAGTCGGAATCAACTCGACAGCACTTAACAACAACAACAAGTACATAAATAAGTAGTGGGTTACGTGTTAGGCTGCTAAACACAAGGTCATTAGTTTGTACCCACCAGCGGCTCCGCAGGAGAAAGGTGAGGCTTTTTGCTCCCATAATGATTTACAGCTTCAGAAACCCTCGCCATGAGTTGGAACCAACTAGACTGCATAAAACAACAACAGCACATAAATGTTCTTTTTTTCCCTCCCAGTTGCCATGGAGTTAACTCGGATTCTGGTGACCCTGTGTGTGTCAGAGTAGAACTGTGCTCTAGATGGTTTCCAATGGCTGGTTTTGGGGAAGCAGATCACCAGGCCTTTCTTTTGTGTCACCAACTCCAGACTCTCGGCTTAGCAGCTGAGTGCATTAACCGCTTGCATGACCCAAAGATTCCCTTGTTCGAAAGATGGGAGTTATTACCAATAGGCTCAAAGATAACACAAGACCCAGTGGGGGGAAAGACCCACTTGGACAAGGGAAGGGAAGGGGTGGTAGAATGAGTGACAACTAGGATGATAAGCCCAGAGGAGTGGGAAGCCAGCAGGGAGAGGGTCTTGAGGTCTGACCTGGTGGTGATGCCCCAGCCAGCCAGCGCCTGACCCATTGTAACCCCTCTGCAGAATGTGGCATCCAGAAAGCCTTAATCCCAGACACTCTCGAGGACAACCTGGTCCACAGGAAGATGTTCCCATGGGTGGTGTCACTGCAAGATTCCAAGTACTCCCACCTGGCTTTCGGCTGCATCCTCAGTGAGTTCTGGATCCTCAGCATCGCGTCCACCTTTCAGCACAGGCCAGTACCCCTGCCGCTGGGGCCCACTCCGCTTCCGAGGGCAGGGCTCTGTTCCCTGGGAAGTGGATCCCAGGTCCTAAAATTGCCCAGGGCCACACAGTCTGTTTCCTCTACTAAAAGTGACACGATTAGCCCCTCATTCTATAGAACCCTTTGCCACGGAGTCAATTCTGACTCACAGTAACCCTACAGGATGGAATAAAACTTCCCCATAAGGTTTCCAAGACTATCATCTTTACAGAACATTAAAACCCACAAAGATTAAAAACCACTTTGTTGAGGATATTCTGATGGAAGCTAATGGCCACATCTTGCTCACTTGGAGCGGCTGATGGGTTCAAACCTTTGGTTGGCAGGCAAGCGCTTTCACTGCTGTACCACCAGGGCTCCTTCCATTCTGTATTTAGTGAGGGGGATGTTTGTCGCAATTTTATCAAAATCACAAAGGCAGTTACTGTTAATTCTAGAGGTCCACACTGGTACAGTAGGTTAAGGGTTGGGCTGCTAACTGCAAGGTTAGTGGTTCAAACCCACCAGCTGCTCTGTGAGAGAACAATGAGGCTGTCTGTTCCTTTAAAGATTTACAGTCTCAGAAAATAGAAAGAACTCTTGAAAAGTAGTTCTACTTTGTCCTATGTTGTTGTTAAGTGCTGTCGAGTCGGTTCTGACTCATGGCGACCCTGTGTAGGGTTTCTGAGAAGCAGTTGGGGGGTTGAACCACCATCTTGTAGTTCAAATTGACCTTGTGGTCCAGTGCTTACTTACAGCACCACCAGAATTGACTGAATGGCAGTGTTTTGGTTTTTTTTTAAATACTTGCTTGTGTTATTAATTCACCACAGCTGGCTCTGCCCCACTGCCCTGGAGTCAGCTATCTCTCTTAAAACACTTTCCTCAGGCCTGAAAAATAGTACAGCTACAAGTACATGTTGTTGTTAAGTGCCATCTAGTCAGTTCTGACCCATAGCGACCCTATATAGGGTTTCCGAAGAGTGACTGGTGAGCTTGAACCGCTGACCTTGCAGTTCAAATGACTTTGCAGTCTGGAGCATTAACCCACAGCGCCACACCAGGACTGAAAATACATACATACATATAAATACCGAGTGGCAGGGGTTTTGTTTTCTAATGTTATTAATATGGATTTATAATAGATTATGGTGATCTATTTTAATACATTGAGGTTCTCTTTGTGGCCTGATGTATCTGGTTCATGTGATTCTTTTCTACAGATAAATTGAAAACTGTATTCTCTGTCTTTGATGTCTAATTTTATACATTAAAAACTCAGGGGTTCCCCACTTGATCTGTCTGTCCTAAGCTGAGAGAGCTGGATTAAAGCTTCCTACCTTTTCTCCTTAGGTTTTTACTTTGTGAACACTTTGTCACTTGCTGCAGATATTTATAATTGTGAGATTTCACAAAAGACAGAATGTTTTATCATTCTAAAACAGTGGATGCTTTCATTGGCTCTGGACTCATCAAGCTTATCTGTTGTTAAGAACGTGGCTCCTGTTTTTCCTTTTTGATTCAGGTTATGCTTTCTGTTTTTCTTGCATTTTCCTCTTGTTATTATTTTTACTATATGGCCTCTGTTTTCTTTTGTAATCCCCTTCAAATAAATTTGGAGAGCCTGTCTTTCCATTTCGGTGTTCATCTCAGAGTTATAATGTCATGCATTGTGAATTGACTCCAACTCATGGAAAGCCCATGTGCAACAGAACAAAACACTGCCCAGTTCTGTGCCATCTTCGTAATGATTGGTCCATCGTTGTGGGCACTGTGAACTGAGAATCTTCTTCCAGCACCATACTAGGCAGTATCTTCCATGGGAAAAAGAGGAGGCTTTCTGTTCCCTTAAAGAGTTACAGCCTCAGAAACGTTATACAAGGTCACTGTGGTCAGAACCAACTCCACGGCACACAACCACCACCACATTATCTCCAACTTTCTTTCTAACTTTAGTGATAATCATTTGATTATTATCAGGACTTCTAATATTTTATTCAGATCTATAACTTTTTAAAAGTTTTCTTTTTATTCCAATATTACTACTACTTTACTAAGTGCTGTCGAGTCGGCAGCCGACTCATAGCAACCCTGTACAGGGTTTCCAGGAGCAGCTGGTGAGCCTGAACCTCCAGCCTTTCAGTCCAAGCTGACTTTGCAGTCCAGCGCATTAACATTAACCAACAGCACACCAGGACTCCAATATTGTAATGGTGTAAAAACAACAGGGAGGCTATGTCTGACTTTCTGTGACTTCACAAGAGGGAAGGAGAATCAAGCTTAAAATCACCCCAATGACAATTCCTGTGAGGCAAAGGTCAGACATGCCTCTACCCTACAACCTTCTTTACCAATTCTGACACCAAGCATCCCTCCCACAGCTCTCTCTGATTCACATCTGGGTTAGATCATCCTTGACAATGGCCACACAGAACTCATAGACAATACTCATGACTGTGGGGTTTATTAGGGGAGTAAACAGGGTACAATTCAGGATCAGAAATAACTCAGGAGGCAGCAGTTCACCATCAGGAACGCCTCTTGTCTGCCATACTGCAGGCACGCTTCCCTTTTGTCTTCAGCCTCTCAGCCATGTGGCCCCTAGGCCTCCGCCCTGCTTGGGCAAGTGTTATAAAGCTCCTTTAACCAGTCCATAAATGCCCAAAGAGCACATTTTGTAAGCCAGCCTCATGCCCACAGGCACTCAACTTACTGGTTTTGTGGGCCAGGAAGCCAGCAACTGCTATGTCTCTCCATTCCACTGGCTCTGCTATGGCCGCAGGGAGATCATGCTCTACTCGTGGCTCATCTTTCTTAATGGTTCCTGTCTCTGAGATGGTTCTTTTTAAACCTAGCAGGATAGCAAAAATCCCTGCATTAGAGTCCCATACACCCTATTTGCATGGTCCCACCCAGTCATTTGGTGGGATTTCCAAGGTCCTGATGTGGCACTGTAGAATAAGCACTAGACTGCTAACTGAAAGGTCTGTGTTCAAACCAATACTAAAAAGCCTAAACAGGGTCATTATGAGTACAAACCGACTCCATGGCACTTAAAGACAACAGCATGAGGTTGTTGTTGCTGGGAGCTGTCGAGTCGGTACCAACTCACAGCAACCTTGTGCACAATAGAACGAAACACTGCCTTGTCCTGCACCAACCTAACAATCATTGCTATGCTTGAGCCATTGCTGCTGCGACTGTGCCAATCCTTCTCATTGGGAATCTTCCTCTTTTTTGCTGATTCTCCACTTTACAAACAAGATATCCTTCTTCAGGGACATGTCCAAAGCATGAGAGATGAAGTGTGGCTATCCCGGCTTCTAAGCAACATTCTGGCTGTATTTCTTTCAACTTAGATTTGTTTGTTCTTTTGACAGTCTGCGGTACTTTTAATATTCTCCTCCAACACTATAGCTCAAATACATCAATTCTTCTATGATCGTCATTCACTATCCATCTTTCACACTCACATGAGGTTACTGAAAAGGCTTGGGTCAGGTGCACCTTAGTCCTCAAACTGACATCTTTGCTTTTCAACACTTCAAAGAAGTCTTCTGCAGCAGATTTGCCTAATGCAATGTGTTATTTGATATCCTGACTGTTGCTTCCATTGAGTGTTGATGGTTGATCAAAGCAAAATAAACTCTTTGACAATTCCAATCTTTTCTCCATTTATATGGATGCTATTTATTGGTCTGGTGATGAGGATTTTTGTTTCCTTTTCACTGAGGTGCAACCTACACTAAAGGTTGTGGTCTTTGATGTTCATCAGCAAGTATTTTAAGTCCTCTTCACTTTCAACAAGAAAGGTTGTATCATCTGCATATCTACGGTTGTTAATGAGTCTTCCTCCAACTCGAATGCCATGTTCTTCATATAATTCAGCTTCTGGAATTATTTGCTTAGCATATAGATTGAATAAGTACAGAAAGAATACAACCCTGATGCACAATTTCCCCAATTTAAAACCATTCAGTGTTCCCTTGTTCTGCCTCTTGGTCTGTGTACAGGTTCCTCATGAGCATAATTAAGTGTTCCGGAATACTCATTCTTGCAATGTTGTCCATAGCTTGTCATGATCCATACAATCGAAAGCCTTTGTAGTCAATAAAGTATGGGTAAACATCATTCTGGTATTCGCTGCTTTCAGCCAAGAGCCATCTGACATCAGCAATGATATCCGTTATTCCACATCCTCAAATGAATCTGGCTTGAACCTCTGGCAATTCCCAGTCAATGTACTATTGCAAACATTTTTAAAATTATATTTACCAAAATTGTACTTGCCTATGAGTTAATAATATTGTCCGATAATTTCCGCATTCCATTCGTTCACCTCTCTTTGGAGTGGGCACAAATATGGATCTTTTCCAAATTTCTTGGTGTAGATGATTGAGTTCCTTCAGTGCTGCATCACTTTGTTGAAAGATTTCCATTTATATTCCACCAGAGACTTGTTCTTTGCCAATGCCATCAATGCACCTTGAACTTCTTCCTTCAGTATCATTGACTCTTGATCATATGCTGTCTTTTGAATTGGTTGAAGATTGACCATTTCTTTTTGGTACAATGACTCTACATATTTGTGTATTCCTTCCATCTTCTTTTGATGCTTTCTGCATCATTCAACATTTTGCCCATAGAATCCTTAAATATTTCAAGTCAAGGCTTGGATTTTTTCTTCACTTTCCTCAGCTTGAAGAATGCTGAGTGTGTTCTTCCCTTTTGGTTTCCTAACTCCGGGTCTTTGCACACTTCATTATAATACTCAACTTTTGTCTTCTTGAGATGACCTTTGAAATGACCTATTCAGCTCTTTTACCTCCTTAGATGCTTTAGCATCTCTACACTGGAGAGCAAATTTCAGTCTCTTCTGACATCTATTTTGGCCTTTTTATACTTTCTTGTCTTCTTAATGACCTCTTGATTTCTTTCTGTATGATGTTCTTGATGTTACCCTATAACTAGAATCCTCAACTGCTCCTTCCCTCCATGTCCTCATCTCTGCCTCCATTTCTGGTGTCACTGCTTCTCTAGATAAGGTCCTGCATTCCGCTTGTGCTCTTCTCCCATGATGGTCCTAGAGTGTCATCTCTTTCTGGACTGTAAGAATAACTACCCCCTGTTTTTGTTACAAAAATAGTTGCAAAAGTCAAAATTAGTCATGATAACAATTACTCACTATTGAATCATAAGAATCTTAATTCCATCTCTTTTCACCAGCCCCATCTAGACAAGATGAAAACTATTCAGTGGGGACTCTTTCTTCCCCCGCACACTCTTAAACTAAACTCCCTCTTGAAACCTTGTAAGTCAGTCACTTGTGCCTTTATCACCCCCTCATCTTAGGTAGCTCTGGTAGCGTAGTGGTTATGAATTGGGCTGCAAATTTCAGGGATAACAGTTCAAAACTACCAGCTGTTCCCGCGGGAGAAAGATGAGGCTTTCTGCTCCCGTAAAGATTTACAGCCTTGGAAACCCTGTACAGGGTTGCTATGAGTCAGAACCGACTCCACGGCACATAACAACAACAACAACAACATCTTAGGTAGCCAATGTCTAAGTTGCCCATCCCTATCTACCCTGTGTACAGAGGGGATAGGATTGATACTTGATGTGAAGACTCCTTCCTCTCTGTTGGTATTTAGAGCTACTACCTCCATGAGTCTAAGAAGCTCTGGTAGCGTAATGGTTACGAATAGGGCTGCTAATCTCACGGTCAGCGGTTCGAAACTACCAGCTGTTCTGCAGGAGAAAGATGAGGCTTTCTGCTCTTGTAGATATGTACAGACTAGAAAACCCTATGCAGGGTCACTATGAGTTGTAACCAAGTCCACGGCACATAACAACAACAACACCTCCATGAGTATAGGTCAAGTTCATCAAATTGTAGCAATTTACTCTTGTTTCCTTAATCTTCCTCTAGTTGAGTTCTGATTATCAAGCCACCGAGGCTGGTTCAGATGGGTACTATCTGCAAGTTTGGGTGTTCTTGCGTATCTTCACTTCATATCAGCTGGACGCTTCTCTTTCAGGTCTAGTCCTCTGTGGTTATGTCCTTGTCCATGGGCTCAGGTGTCTCCAGGTCTCACCACAGTTTGGACCAACCAGGCCTTCCTCTTCTCTATCTCATCTTCAGGTCAACGGGAGTCAATGGACTGTGGTTGAATTCAGCCCATTTTTTCATTGCTGCCTCTCCCCTTCTTCCACTCACCAGTAGACCAATGTGGTCGTCAGCAAGCTTACATGCCTTCTTATGTGTTCCCTTTGAGTTTCAGGCTTTGAGGGAGGGTTTGTCCTGAGGGAACTTGATTTCTTACCTGGATGGCTTCCCAGCGAACAACTTGCTTATTCTTGTAGTAGCCAGTCGTACTACCCTTTTAATTGTTTTTTTCCTCCTGATTTTTCTTTGAAGATGTATCTCTGTCACTCTAGGCTGGTCTGCTTGTCCTTTCTAGTGGGAATGTTCCATCTCAGAAGTTTCTGGATGGGGCTCAGGATTCCACCTAAAGTCCTATACACTGCAAAGGCTCTGCAAGAGGCCTATTTCACTGGGAAAGTTGTGGAACCCCTTTTAGGTATTCCAATCATATATAGGCTGAAGACGGGCTTACAAGCTTTCTGTATTCATGTTTCCCAACATTCCTTTCTATCCCATTCAAGTGTCTATTTTACAACAGTAGGCATTGGAAACCAATATTCCTAAGACAGTCAAGCATCTTAGAATTATTTCCCCTCTTCAGACTATGCCTCGATCCCTGTATCACAGAGCCCTATAGTTCCAAGGTTTAGCATGCATCACTATTATTTACCTCTGTCCCATTTAGCCCATGCAAACCTGTCTCAGTGTTCTCCTATCTACCTTGTTGTCTCCCTCCTCCCCCTCATGGACTTGTTTTAATTTTCTTCAACTTCAGCCTGAACTTGCCTAACGAGCAACTGATAGTCTGTTCCACAGTCTGCCCCTGGTCTTGTTTTGACTGATGATATGGAGCTTTTCCACCATCGAGTCCCACAGATGTAGTCAATTTGATTTCTGTGTATTCCATCTAGTGAGGTCTATGTACATAGTCATCTTCTATGTTGTTTTAAAAGGGTATTTGTAATGAACAAGTCATTGGTCTTGCAAAAGTCTACCATGTGACCTCCAACATTGTTTTTCTATCGCCAAGGCCATATTTTCCAACTCCTCATCCTTCCTTTTTTTCAACTTTTACATTCCAATCACTAGTAATTATCAATACATCCTGATTTCATGTTTGATCAATTTCAGACTGAAGAACTTGGTGGAATTCTTCAATTTCATCATCACTGGATTTAGGGGTTGATGTACAAATTTGAATGATTGTTGTATTAACTGGCTGACCTTGTAAGTGCATGGATATTCTCCTAGCACAGACAGCATTGTACTTCAAGATAAATCTTGAAATATTCTTTTTGATGATGAATGCAATGCCATTCCTCTACAATTTGTCACTGCTGGCATAGTAAACCATGTGGTGGTCAGATTCAAAATGACCAATACCAGTCCATCAGCTCACTAATACCTAGGATACCGAAGTTTCTGGGTTCCATTTCTTTTTTGAAAACTTCCAATTTTTCTAGATTCATCCTTTGTAAATTCCATGATCTGATTATTAATGGATACTTAAAGCTCATTTTGCATTGTGCCCCATCAGCAAATGAAGGTCCCGAAAGCTTTACTCCATTCACTCCATCACAGTGAACTCTACTTTGAGGAGGCAGCTCTTCTCCAGTTGTATTTTGAGTGTCTTCCAACCTGAGGGGCTCATCTTCCAGCACTATTCTGGTGCTCTTCATCATGTATCAATATTCAGTATTCTGGTGCCATCTGACAGTGTTCCAATGCTAGTCATATGGCTTTTAGTGACTAAATATTTGGAAGTAGTCCATCTCTCCTTCTTCCTAATCTGTCTTAGTCTGGAAGCTCATCTGAAACCTGTCCACCATGGGTGACCCTGCTGGTATTTAAAATACCAGTAGCATAGCTTCCAGAATCACAGCAACACACAAGTCACCACAGTACGACAAACTGACAGTCCAGTGGTGGAGTCCCATGGTAGAAGAGCCAAAATTCACTGTATCTTAAATGGATTCCACACTCATTGACAATCCTTTCACTGGATGCTCTCATTCAACACTAGAGTTGCCTGAAGTTTGTCTTGAAGTCATTTCTCAAAGGGTCCCCAACTATTGTATTTCCTTGGTTTTGCATATTCAAATTCTTTTGTGCTGTCCTTAAATCGGAATGACCATTTAAATATAAAATCCATAGCTCACACCTTCTTTTCTTGAGGACATTATTGGCCTCACCCTGGTTTCTGTTATTAAATTTTGCTGAGAAGAAGTCTGAGGCCCTTCTAATTTTTCCCATATAGTTAAGGTGACTACATATCCTAAAAGGAGCTCTGGTAGGGCAGTGGTTACAAATCAGGCTGCTAATCTCATGGTCAGCAGTTTGAAACTACCAGCTGTTTGGCGGGAGAAAGAGGAGGCTTTCTGCTCCCATAAAGATTTATAGCTTAGGAAACCCTATGTAGGGTCGCTATGAGTCAGAATCGACTCCACGGCACATAACAACAACAACACATCCTAAAGGGCTGGGAGAGAACTGATTTACACGGATTACTCCAGAATCCTATTATTCCCACTGCATTCACTCTTACAAGTTCCCTGGCTTGAACAATAAATTATATGATAAAACTTAAGATGACTTAATATATTTTTTAATTTGGATGCCAGGGATTGCTCTTTTGTCAGAAGTTTACTAGTTATGTGGATCTCTTCCATTTTCCCCTTGGGATTCATTCTCTACCCTTTCCCACCCTGTTCTCTGTCCTAGGAGGCTGATCTGTGTGAATTACATCAATGGACTCTCTTGCCTTCTATGCCCCATTTGGGTTTGGCCAATGGGAGCACTGGCAAGAAATCAGAGGGAGAAGGGAAAGTGAGGTCAAGGCCCTTATTCCCTTGAGACATACTATGGATTGGTTTTCCCTCCAACCAATTGGCTCACTCCGTAATGGTTGGTCCATCGTTGTGGGCACTGTGTACTGAGAGTCTTCTTTCAGCACCATACTAACCAGTATCTTCCATGGAAAAAAGAGGAGGCTTTCTGTTCCCTTAAAGACGAACACAGCTCTGTCTGACCATTCCCTCCTTTTGTCTCGAACACAGAGGTGGTATCAACACCTTTGTTGTCACTAGTCCCAGGGTGCTGTGTGACTCCTTGTGGTTTCCTTAATATTCTGCCAAGACATTTGTAAAGAGTCCATGTATTTACCTTTCTTCAATTTTCCTTATGTGAGTATGTTACCTGTTTCCTGCAGGAACCTGACAAGGATATGCCTTTGTGTTGGTCATTCCATCATTCGGACTCATTTTTTTTCATTAGGACTTGGAGGACCCTTTCAAACTATATATTGAAGTCTCATTTCTGGAAAGCTTTTGTAAACTACTTCTTTTTATATATTTTTTGTCATTTCATTATTTTGGTATTTGCGGTGTGTTGGTTTTTCTTTGTCATAGCTGTCATTTTCCTCTGTAGTCTTTGAAAATCTTGGATAATTTCCATTTCATTTTGGTCGCTTTTCTCAGTCCTACCTTTATGTCTCTGATTGTGTTTTCTGTGGTCTCTATTCTACCTTGGGCAACTTCTAATTTGGTCTTCCTTTCTGTGATGATTTTATTTTTTTTCATACTACATCTTTGCTGAGACACACACTGTCATTGTTGTTAAGTGCAGTCAAGTCAGTTCTGACTCATAGCGACCCTGTATAGCATTTCCAAGGAATGACTGGTTGGTTTGAACCACACCAACCCTGTGGCTAACAGTCCAGTGCTTTTCCTGTAGCAAGCACCACCCCAGGCCAAGGAAGCGTACCTGCGAAATTAGGAAGATGTGAAACTTCCTTGATGCTTTGGCTTCTCAAGCTTCCCTTGCTCTCTTTCCAGGAAGAACTTGGTGGTTATTGTTGGCATAGCGGACATGGATGCCAGAAAAAGAGCCCATGCAGAATATCCCATCAATACCATCATCATCCACGAGGGCTTTAATAACCGCTCCATGAGAAACAACATCGCCCTTCTGAAGACAGACTCGGCAATGCAGTTCAACGACCTGGTCCAGCCCGTCTGCTTCCTGGGCAGGAAGCCGCATAAACTCCCAGCCTTGTGGAACTGCTGGGTGTCAGGATGGAACCCCACGTCTGCAGTTAATGCCTTCCTTCTCCTAGAGGAGCTGTGTGTGCTAGTAGTGGGGCTATCTTGGAGGAACAGTATTAGGGCTTATCTTAAATCGCCAATTTGCTTGAAGTTCTAGAGTTGGGTTGGAACCCTTAGCGGATTAGCATTTCTTTCAGGATTCTCACTGCTTGCCCTTTCTATGGCGATGCTTATACTTGACCCTCGTCCCACTAGCTGTCTTCTGCAGCTGGAAATACACAGGCAGAGGGCAGACTGGATGTAAGATTATGGAGGGGTGAGGGGACATGATTTATTTTGTCTAAGCCATCCCTGTTGCCTTTTATTCTTGGAAGAGAAAGAAAAAGGCAATGTATACTCTGTAGATGTGGTGGAAGGATGAATACGTCCTCTATTTTCCAGCTCAAATTCAAAGCGAAGCTGGTTTTCAGTAGAAACTCAGACATAGGTTCTGATTTCCCTGAGGAGACGGGTTTACACAGATATTTTCTTCTCACTACCATTTGGCTTTGTAAGTTGCAGTTGAGGTGATTTGGGGTATCTTCTTGTTAACAATTCTTAGCCTCTCTGTTGCATGGTCCAGACAGGAACGCACATGACAATGAGTATCCTGAGGAAAATGTCCGTGAAAGATGTTGACCTGTGTCCTTTATACAAACCCCCGAAAACAGCCTGCTGCAGTCACAGAGGGGAAAAAATGGACATCTGCTTGGTAAGAACATGATGGAGGAGAAGCTAAATGCTGAGCGTAAGCACTGGTTACCCCAAGGGGAGCCTCCACACTGTCCCTGACTGGATGGTGAGCTCCCTGAGGGCAGAGATCATTACTTGGGACTCACTCCAGAGCGTGAATGTTTTTGTTGTTAAGTGCTCATAGCGACTGTGTAGGGTTTCTGAAGAACCGCTGGTGGGTATGAACCACTTACCTTGTGTTTAGCAGTTCAGTGCTAATCCTACAGCACCACACGAGGACTGATGGTGGTGGTTATGTGCCGTGGAGTCGGTTCTGACTCATAGTGACCCTGTATAGGGTTTCTGAGGCTTTATATCTTTGCAGTCCCATGGAGCGACTGGTGTGTTTGATCTGATGACCTTGTGGTTACTAGTCCAGTGCTTATCCTACAGTGCCACCAGGGCATCTCCTTAAATCAGACAATTTGTTTATATTCAGTAGAAGACTTTAAAGACAGTTATTTAATGAAATCCTGCCATCAACCATTCCATTAGTCTAATAATGCTACTTCATCAAATCCAAGGTACTATTAAATAGGGGATGCTCCTGATAGCATAGTGGTTACAAATCAGGCTGCTAATGTCAAGGTCAGCAGTTCTAAACTATCAGCTGTTCCATGGGAGAAAGATGAGGCTTTCTGCTCCCATAAAGATTTACAGCCTCAGTAACCGACTCTACCGTACTTAACAACAACAACCATTATTTTATATTTTATTAAGAAAGAAAAAATGCTTCCAGTTAAACTCAGATATCTACTAACTAAAAGGCACATCCCAATTTCAAAGAGTTAAAAAACATTTTTTGGAGTGCATCTTAGACTTGGTTGAATATGTTGTTTATACTTGTTCTAAACTATTACCTTTCAAAAATCTTTCTACAAAGTAGTTTGGCTTTTAACTACTGTACACCTATAGACATTTGTTTATTTTTGAATATAATTGTGCTTGCAAACTGCCTCAGACAAACAAATGGCGACCCGCCTACCCAGAATTCTTCCCTCTGTTCCAAATGTGTTCCAGCGTCCAGCTCTCCAGAGGCCCTTAAAGTCACACTTCCCACATCTAATGTAAACCTTCCAGATTCAATATCTGCCCACTGGGTCTCCCCAGAAACCATGCAAAGGCAGAACAACTCTGAAACCCTTCCCTCACCCCAAAGTTTTAACAATTATTAGGGTTTTTGCTCAGTCTCCCAGGACAAGATTATGACAAGAAAGAACCCCTCCCTTGGGAGCTGAGATAGTTGGCTCCAGAGGAGCCGCCAGCTGGTACCTTTTGTCTCAGCTGCTTCTGAGTCAGAAGTCACAGCCCCACAGCATCATGGGAGAGCAAAAGTGGCGTGTTCTGTTCCCAAGTGGAAGAGCAGACTGCCAATCAGTGCAATAGCTGGGGACACTCACCAGTTATTTATTGGACTATTGTTCTAAGTTGTATACGTAAACATTTTTTTCTTAATTGTGAATTAGGTGAAGGTTTACAGAGCAGACTGGTTTCCCATCCAACGATTTATACACATTTTGTTTCATGTTATTGACTGCAGTCCCCACAACGTAACTTCACTTATCCCGAGTCTGTCCTGTGATTTCTGTTTCTATTCCTCCTTATTTTCTAATCCTTCTGAACTTTGTGCTTGGATAAATCTTGTCCTTTTGATCTCAAAGTGTAGATTATTCTAAGGAGTGCAAACTCCCTAGTGTTCTTGCTTTCTGTATGTTGCTTGGCTGAATCACAAGGATGAGTTCATTTACAGGCCTGAGGAGTGAAGATGAACCATAGTCTCAGGAGTCCATCAACCTCTAACCAAACATTAAGCCTGGTATTTTTAATTATTATTATTATTTTTTAATTTTTAGTTTTGTTCCACATTTTTCTCCCATTCTACCCAAGACCTTCCAGTGTGATCCCTTTCAGAGCAGTAGGTAGTGGGAGTCGGACACCATCTAGTTCTTCTGGTCTCAGAGTCATGGAGATGGATGTTCACGTCATCCATTAGTCCACTGGGCTAATTGTTTCCAAGCACCTTTGATTTTCCTCACTCTTCTTTCCTCCAGACAGACAAAGACTAATCCTTAGTACCTTAGATAGCTACTCACTAGCTTTGAAGACCCCAGTGGCTCCTCACCAAAGTAGGATGTCGGGCATTGTGTTAAAAATGGCATACTTTGTTCCTCAAGTTATAAAGTCACAGTTAAAAGTGGGGCTGGGATGGCGAAAGGAAGGAGAAGCACATCATTGTGGCCAGGGAGCCTCTCCTCCCCAACCAGATGCGACGGGCCCAGGCAAGGAGCCTGTTTAACTCAAACAACCAACCAAACCAAACCAGCAGCCCTCAAACCAGTTACAGCTCATGGCAACTCCAGGAGCGCAGAGTAGAATTGGTTTTTCAAGACTGTGACTTTCAAAAGTCTTTTTTTCTGGGGTGCTTCTGGGTGGTTTTGAACCTGAAACCTTTCTGTAAACTGTTTACGTGACCCAGATAGGATAACCAACCAGAATTCTGCTATAAAATCTTGACTCTTGTCACTGCCACTGATTGGCAGTAAGGGGTGAAAACAGTAGAAGAAAAGTCAAGAATTTTACACAGTATCACTCTAATTATATGTCATTAGAAGCACACTAGGAACTCCAGGAACCTGGTCTTGGCCTTCTGAACAGTGTTGGATTACCCTATAAGCAAGATGAGCAGACTTACTTATAGTGAACAACTCCACACTTTTTACATCAGAGATTCTACTTCTAGGTCTGCCTGGCATCTCTGTATCTCCCAACCCCACAGCACCTTTCTACAGAATCAAAGCCTCTATTCAAATTTACAATCCTTGACAGGGACAGAGTACCCAGCAAGCAAAGTAAGTACAGGCTTACTTACTAATCTGTAGTGAACAGTTTCAAATGTTTGTGATGAAAAACACGCAAAAGTGTTTCAAAGAAAACATGTCAACTGTTCACTACAGATTAGTGTTGTTGTTGTTAAGTGCTGCTGAGTCAGTTCCAACTCATAGCTACCCTGTATAGGGTTTCCAAGGAGTGGCTGATGGGTTTGAACCACTGACTTTGCCGCTCAAACTGACCTCGCGGTCCAGCACATTATCCTTCAGCACCACACCAGGTAAGTAAATACAAATAAACTCTTGCCTACCTTGCTTACCACATAACCTGTCTCCATGTCTGGGTGATCACCAAGCATTACCCTACAGGGCACCTACTTTCTTTCCCAATTCAAGTGGCTTCCTCAGAAAAAAGGGCAAATGATTGAAAAGGATTGTTGTTGCTGTGACGTACCATCAAGTCGGTTCTGACTCATAGCAACCCTGTTTCCAAGGAGGATTGGTGACTCTGAATCACCAACCTTGCAGTTCAAACTGGCCTTGTAGTCCACTGCTTATCCTACAGCGCCATACCAGATACATGCATAGAAACCCAAGAGAGACTGAATACACAAGCTTCGGGTTGGGGACTGCTTCTTTTTGTGGAGTCCGTTCAGACTGTTTCCTGTTGCCATTGCATCTGCTCTGTATCCCTGTCCCAACAGCCAAGAGCAACATGGATGGCACACCCAGACAGGTCAAAGGTGGCTAGGTCAAAGGTGACTATCCAATCTTTAGATGATGACCTTTCCTTGAGACAAGATGGACTACCTAGGAGGGGCATGTTTCTTTAACTGGGGGCCTGTGTGTTGGGACGGTCCCTGTGTGGTACAAGCAGTTTAAGTTCCACTACTAAAGCGTGTCAGTCTGAACCCACTTGGTGGGTCTACATAGGAAAGGCCTAGTGAGCTCCTTCTGTAAAGATCACAGCCAAGAAATCCCTATGGGGCAGTTCTACTCTGTAACTCATGTGGGCACCATGAGTTGGAACTGGTTTTGATTTTTGATTTGGGTGTTGGAAACATGGCAGGAGAGGGGGCAGCTAAGATAAATTATGCCTAGTAGTTTATCTGGTTGCTTTCCCAATGGTTTTTTTTTTTTTTAATTTTCACATAGAAATAATGCCTTTTTATGGTGTGGCACTGTAGGGTAAGCACTGGACTGCTAATGGCAATTCAAACCCACCAGCTGCTCCTTAGAAACCCTATACAAGGTTGCTATGAGTCAGACTGATTTGACAGTACGTAACAACAACAATCTTTGTTGTGTGTTCACTGTGTGCCAGGCTCTGCATGTGTTGCAGGGACAGAGTCGACCACTAACTGAAATGCCAGCAGTTTGAACCCACCAGTCACGCTTCGGGAGAAAGCTGTGGCATTCCGCTTCCATGGAAACCCAATGGAGCAGTTCTACAATAGGGTCGCTATGAGTCTGAGTCGGAATTCAGCTTGACAGCAACAGGTTTACACCCACTTTAGCTCAGGGTCACAGATCCAACAAAGTATGCTAAGCTTTTACCCACCCATTCTAAGGGAGGTATGGCTTGTGCCTCAGAATTCCAGAATATCAGCCCCCTTTTCCCACGGGAGCAGAGGAGCCCAGGAACAGGACAGTGCTGGTGGGAGGTGGGGTAACAGGAAGGGCCAGGTGGGAAGCTGTGACCTGCTGAACTTTGACCCCAAAGGTCTACAGGAAGGAAGTCCAAAAACTCAAGCCCATTGCCATTGAGTTAATGCCAACTCAGAGTGACCCTGCATAGAGTTTTGAGGCTGTAAATCTTGATGGGAGCAGAAAGTCTCCACTTGCTCCTATGGAGGTTTGAACGGCTGACCCGGAGGTTAGCAGTCCAGTGCTTATTGCACAGCACCACTAGGACTCCCCTGGGAGTGGGAGGGAGTGGTTTAATGTAAGGACGGAAACAAGATGGAGAGGTGATGAGAAACATGGGCATCCCAGGCAGAAAGGAAAGATATAGAACAGCTTAAGAATGGGAAACCAAAATAGACGAAGGACTGAGTTGTTCTGAAAAGGAGGGGGCAAGAAAATGAAATTCAAACCAGAGAGCTACAGACAAACTGCAGAAGTCCATAAATAACTGGCATAATAAAAGAAAAGGACATCTTGTTGGAATTTGTAGTGGGTACTGCCTCTGCTTTGATTTGAAATAGCATCCTATAAATGTACACCACATCCCCAGGGAGAATCAGTGTAAGACACTTCGAATTGCACCAGGATATATGAGGGGGCTTCAAAAAGCTTGTGGAAAACAGTGTGTCTGTGGTGGGGGAAGATAATGGAATTTTCTCATACACTTTTTGAAGTCCCCTTATATTGACAAATTGCACAAAGGATATATTTTCAAAGAAAGCAAGTTTTTCTAAGACTTGAAGCCTTCTGTCTTTTGTCACAGGGGGACCCAGGAAACCCAATGATGTGCCAGCTACAACAACTGGGTGTGTGGGTCCTGAGAGGAATCCTAAGTAAAGGCGGTGAGAAATGCATTGGCCCATTTGTGTACACCAAGGTGGAAGATTACAGTGATTGGATCGCAGCCAGCACCAAGAGGGTCGGCCCTGTGTTGTATTCCCTCCAACACTGGGAGAAGGTACTCCCTCACTCTGGCGGGCTGAGGGACCTCGTGACACAGAAAACACATGCTGGCCAGGACCACCACGGAGGGCACCATGTGCACCATCAAGGACGGAACTGGCCCTCCAGTCATTCGCTGCCAGCAAAAGACTCTAGGAACAGTCTCAACTTTCGGCAAACGGGTCTGAGGGAAGCCGGCCGGGCTTCGGAAATGGCTATGCAGCCCATGTACTATGACTACTACGGTGGGGAAGCTGGGGAGGGGGGAGTCATTGCAGGTCAGAACAGCTTACATCACCCCCAAAAAGCTATGTTGGTTTTCTTCTTGCTGGTTTTCTTTTGCAGAGGTGCCTAGCCTAGAAACAGATACATCATACCAAAACATAAGCTCAGAATGCCAGGTGCCAGGCACTCACCAGACCGTACTGATAACTATTTTTGTACTTTTGAGAGTTATGTACCTGGGCTGCTATGGACAGGCCCACGGCACATGCAGGGCTGGCTCTCCCTCTTCTATCCCATCCCACGTGCCAGAAGGTCCCCTTCATTTGTGCTTGTGAACTAAATGTAGACTGACAAGCGTCAAACCATCGGTGTCCCCTGTGGTTCTTTCAGTGTTGACGTTTCCAGGGGCCAGGCTGTGAAAGCTCCTCGTGGGCAGATGTGGCCTGGGAGTTGACGGGCAGCCTGGCTGGAGAGTTGGGGACAACATTCAGCACAGAACAGCAAGAGGACCTCATGACTAGGAAAGAACTGATTACTTTAATGGATTACTTCTTGGGCTGCAGCTGTGGCCGAGGCCTGCCCTTCCTCTGGTCACTTCCCAAGGGAGTCCATTGCCTGCAGCTGCTCACAAGTGGCTTTCATTTTATTCCAAACCTTACGGTAGCCTTTCAAAGACATCTATGAAAAAGGAAAAAGGGGGGTGGGGGAGGGAGAGAAGGTCTTTTAGCTACTGATTGTGCCCATCCAGCCAGCAGCCCGCATCTGGTCCTGCTGACTATGCGGGTACCCTACAGGAGGTGGTGCCCTGCTGGGTGGCACCCTTCCAGAAGATTCTTCTAAGGAGCAGGCTTCCATTTAATGGAGGGAGAAGTTTCAGGTGCCTGCTGTGGTCCTCTACTTCTCAGCTTGAATGTGGCTGAGTTTGGATCCTATTTCACTCCTTATCACCATGTGATCACAGGAGAGGTAGGGAAAAGGATCATGGGACCTGAGCTGGGGTCCACATGTGACAACGCCAGGCTCCCACTGGCTTCCTGAGTAACCAGATGGAGGTTTGAAAGGTGCATGAATGATGTCTTAAGTGGCCTCGGTGTGCAGTCTCAGTGGTTTATAGTATCCACGTTGCCGCCACCTCCTCCTCAGCTCATAAGGAGCCAAGGTACTACTGGACACATTGAATTTTACAGGGTTGCAGGGTTAGTTACAAACAAATGTGACTATAAACATGCATGAAATTGGGTGCCGAGTGGTATTACAAATCCATTCTGATGTAATTTGTTAAAAACTGGCTTATCCATGTATAAAGTTATTAAGTGCCATTGAGTCAGTTCTGACTCATAGCAACCCTGTATGGGGTTTCTAAGGAGCAGCTGGTGGATTTGAACTGCAGACCTTGTGGTTAGCAGTCCAGTGCTGATCCTACAGCACCACACCAGGAGTCCGTGTATAAAGTGACAATGACTAAATTATTAGTGGTGGGGAGGGACTCATAAGTTTTCAGAGTTCATTAAGAAAATAAACAATTAAAAGCATACATTACTACAGAGTCTCTCCCTGGTACCTGAAAACACTACAATTTACAGTGAGGCACTTTAGAAACAACAACCATGCTTCATTGTGGTATAATAAATCACCTGCAAAATTGCCTCACAAACATTGTTGTTGTTGTTGTTGTTGAGTGCCGTCGAGTCAGTTTTGACCCACAGTGACTCTGTATAGGGTTTCCAAGGAGAGGCTGGTAAGTTTGAACCGCCGACCTTGCGGCTCAAACCGACTTTACAGTCCAGCGCACTAACCCACAGGCCACACTAGGACTCACAAATATTACAAACACTTTTATTCTTACTCTGAAAATCAAAATCCAAAGCAAAAATGTCCAGGGCAAAAGACACTGTCCATCTTGGGATTCTGCCGTGACTTACCTCGGTGATCTCGACTTTCCTTTCCCACGTCTTGATAGTCTTCTCCAGCTCCCCATTTATGATCTTCTCCTGGACATATGCCATTACGGGTGGTGCTCGGAACTTGGACAGTTGCTTCCGTAACTTCTTGTTCGCATACTCGGCCCTGGCCCGGTCCTGTGTGAGGAAAGACAATTCAACTCAAAAGATCCTGGAAGCTCCTGGCTTGAGAATTTTCAACAAGGATGCCAAGACCATGGGGGTGTGAGTGGGAGAAGAAGAGTCTATTCAACAAAGCACACTCTTCTTTATGTTTCAGGAAGAATATTCTGGTACAACTGGATATCCACTGGCAACAAAAACAAAAAACAAAACACCCCTATCTCATACCATACATAAAATTAAAAAATGGATCAATGACCGAAATGTACGGGTTAAAACTCTTAGAAGGAAACATAGGGTGTGAAACTTCAAGACCTAGGACTAGGCAACAGTTTCTTAGGTATCACACTAAAATCACAAGTGACAAATGAAGACGTTTGATAAATTGGACTTCATCAAAATGAAACACTTTGATGCTACACACAATACAATTAAGGAAAAAAAGGGGGAGACAATATTTGCAAATCATATATCTGATAAGTGACTGAATCCAAACTATATAAGAAACTATTATTACTCCATAATAAAAAGACAAGAGACACAGACACAAAGGTAAAAATAGCTAAAAATTATAAGATGGAAAAAAATATCAAGTAAATTAACAAAACAGCAGGAGTGGCAATATTAATCTCTGATAAAATAGATTTAAAGGCAAATGCACCACAAAAGATAAGGAAAAGTATGTAACGATTAAGGGGTCAATTTATCAAGAGAATATAACTATAACAAATATTTACAAACCCAATGAGAGTGCTCCAAATGTTGGTGAGTTTGAACTGCCAACCTTGTGATTCAAACTTACCTTGCTGTACTGCGCTTCCCCTACAGCGCCACACCAGGACTCTAGCAGCATTGAATAGAGAAATAGACAATTCTACAATAATAGTAATAGACTTTAACACACCACTTTCGATGGAAGCCAGAACTAAAACTAAGATTAAAGTAGAAATAAATGAAATAGAATATAAAAATAATAGAATCATAAGACAAGAAGTTGGTTCTTTGAAAGAATCAACGAAATCAACAACCACAGGTCAGCCACTCTGGAGGAGAAAGATGAGGCTTTCTGCTTCTGTAAAGATTTACAGCCTTGGAAACCTATACCGGTCACTGTGAGTTGGAACCGACTCCACAACACACCACCACTATCACTAAGTGGTGGGATCCACGGCCAGAGGGTTGGTATGTGTTAACTTGGGTGATGGGGAATGCAATATACAACAAGATGGAGGTTGGCAGTAGAATGATGAAGGCAGGAAAAGGCACAGGAAAGAGTGCAAGAGTGAAAGGGAATAGAGGTAAGCACCGTAATATACACCATCCTGCAATATCAGTGATAATATCAGCACTGGGCTGCTTAAACCCATAAACTGCTCCTTGGCAACCCGACACAGAGTCACTATAAGTCAGAACTGACTCGACAGCACTTAACAACAACAACATGGATAGATTCCTAAAGTAAATTTATTAGATAATTGCAAAATGCCAGCATGTGAAATGGAAAAATATCAAAGTATATACATCTTTTTTTTTTTTAATATACTCCTCAGTCAAGCAGGTAATAACCATCATTAAAAAAAAAAAAAAAAGCAAAAAACCCCACATCTTTAAAACTAAAAGTGATATATGTGCTAATGACCAAGTATAACCACCTAATTTTAATCTAGATAGCATAATCTAGCTATAGTCTAAAGCCACACAAAAGCACTAGAAAATCATGTAATGAATATATAACCAACATAAGACAAGATAAAAGCATTTTTAAGTGCATTTTGTTCATATTCTTTCATTTTAAAAAATCAACAAAAAATATTATCTATTCATCTAAAAGTTTTTCAAAGTCTTCTTTAAACTTCAGAGATTGGGTAAATTTTATTATTATGAAGAATACAAAACAAAAAAGAATTCTGTAATAGTTATTAGATAAGCCAAAATAATCATATACTAGGAAGTGACTAGAAGGAGCTCTGGTAGTGTATTGGTTACGAATAGGGCTGCGAACTGCAAGGTCAGCAGTTCGAAACTACCAGCTGCTCCGCGGGAGAAAGATGAGGCTTTCTGCTCCCGTTAAGATTTACAGCCTCAGAAACC